CCCCGCGCATTCTCACCGCTGGTCACTGCCAAGGTCAGCGAGGCGATCGCTGCAGCCAGGGGCCACATGACGGCTCCCGGGTGGGGGACAGGGCGGGGCCTGGGGAGAAGTCGGAGGGGGGCGTTAAGGGTTGGCCCCGAACTCCCATTTCTGAAATTCCTCTGCTCTTGCAATGCGCAGGCTTGAATTTCTGCACCCCTGACCCTGGACCCCCTGACCCTGACCCCTCCCGCCCCAGCGCCAATTCCGTGCTCAGGTGGGGGCCAAGCCCGGAGAGAGAAGAGACAGTCTCCTTTCTCTAGTCCTATTGGCTTTCGCGGACCCTCATCCTTGCTGGCCAGCGTCCGCACCCCATCCCTACCCTTTGCCTGCCTTTCATTCACTCTCCCCCCCTCCGCCCCTTTCTCACCTCTCTGAATCTCTCCCTACACTCGGTCTCTGCCTAGATTTATGTCTCCGTTGTCTCCATCTCTCTCCATCTCTGCACCTTTCTGTACCTCCAGTGTCCTTCTCCATCCCCCTGACTCAGCTCTTCTCCTCCAGTCCCCTTCCCACTTCACCCCTGCGTTCTCTCCTCCCTCCATCACCCCCTCCCTAGGTCGACCCTACCTGAGTGAGGGGCCCAGGCGAAGAGCTTCTGCCGCCAGCTGCCTCGAACTTCAGCCCCGACCCATGGCTTTTAACCCCTGAACTCCCTCCCCCAGCGTTCTCAGTATTTCCTTGTCTACAGCCTCCCCTTCTCCACCCCCTCTGGCTCAGCAGACTGTAGGCAACCCCCCTACAGCCAGGGCTTGGCCTTCCAAGGGCGGAGCTTCTAGGACAAGCTGGGACCCAGATCTGGGCCCGCCCAAGTCCGTATTGAACCCACTGTGAACTTTCAGAGCAGCAGAACCCAATACGTGGGAAGGGGGAAATCAATTCTCTTCCCCAAACCTACTCCAAACCCCATGCTCACCCATAGTTTAATTCCTAATGCCATTCCTACTTTGACCCATTTTCCATCCCTAATGCCATTCTTACTTCCAATCCCTCTTTCCAGCCCCATGCATATTCCTAATATACATTAGCTCCCAGATGATCATTTTCTACTCCATCCTCATCTCCCTGCCCAATCTTAACCATAGCCCTTACCCATAGCTTATCCCTCAATGCCTCTCATCTCTACCCCCAGGTTTATCTCTCAACATTAAGCCCAACATGTCAAGTATCTCTTTCCAGACTCATATCCAACCACAGCTTCATCTTCTGAAAAGATAAATGATGCCCAGATCCATCTCCACCATTATAGATACCCACACACAACCCTCACACACAAGAACAGAATGGTGGGCAGAAGTCAACAGCTCTTGGATTTGGAAGGGGGCAGGGATGGTTCTGAGAAAGCAATATTTTGCATAAATATTCTTCCAGGAGAAGAGCCAGATGGGGTCAGGAAGACCATGGTGGGCAGGGGGAGAGGAAAATGCAGGATCCAGAAAACTCTGGAGGTTCTGTGATGCAGGGGAAGAGGAAGGAGGAAGGGGTGGTGTTTTGGGAATGAGTAGGTGTCTCCTAGAACTGTAACTGGGTGGGTCCCTGAGTTAATCACAGGAGGTGGATAAAGCAGGATTAGGGAGGATAGAGGTGGGGTCAGAATTTGGAAGAAGGCCAGTGATGGAGACCAGATGAAGTTTGGGCAGAGAGAAGGGACTCAGTGGTGTAAAGAGGAGGTGAAGGGTAGACACCGATAAAGTGAGGGTTCACACCAAACTGGTATGGGTCTAAATTGAGGGAGTTAAGATTTGAATATAGGGATAGAATCTAGGGTCAAAGCATTATTTCTTAAAGTGTACAACCATAACACTTATACATATAAAAATGAACCTGTGTTAAAGATTTTATTTTAACTCATTAATAAATGAAAGATCTAGTAAGATGGAGTCTTGGTATGGTGCTGTGGGTTAATGTGCTGGACTTCAATGTCAGTTTGAACTGCAAGGTTGGTGGTTCCAGCTCACCAACTGCTCTTAGGAAACCCTACGCAGGGTCATTATGGGTCTAAACGGACTCAACGGCACTTAACAACAACAGTAAGATGTTAGTTACAATTGGTTCAAAGGCGAATTCAAATAACCCAATGTGAATAGGGGATGCTGAAAAGATTTTACAAATAGATGCAAAACTGACATATTCCACAAAGAGAGAAGAAACATTAGTTATACTTCCACCTGACTGTTTGCATAGTTGCACTTGCTACTAACTATCCAAAATTCAGTTCCTTACACAGTTGTAAAATAACATTTGAATTATTGTGTTGTTGGAGAATATTGACTATACATCATGGGCTGCTAAAATAATGAACAACTTTGTGGAATAAGAAGTACAACCAGAATGCCCCTTAAAAACAAGGATGGCAAGACTTTGTCTCACTTACTTTGCATGTGTCATGAGGAGGGAACCTTTATAAAGGGAATGGACATGTTATCAGGAGGGACCAGTCCCTGGAGAAGGACAACATGGTTAGTAAAGTAGAGCGTCAGTAAAAAAGAGAAAGACCCTCAATGAGATGGTTTTTGGCACAGTGGCTGTAGCAATGGGTTCAAACACAGCATCGATTATAAGGATGGTGCAGGATATAGGCAGTGTTTGGTTCTGTTGTTCATAGATTACTGTAAATCAGAATCAATTGGATGGTACCTAATAACAACAACAAAAATAGTTCCAAGGCATTGAAAGATGCAGAATTATCTACAGACGATTCCCCATAGATCCTAGTTGGATCTGTTTCAAAGTCTTTTACAATTTTTCCTTATACTAGGAACAAGAATATGGTTTAATTTAGTATTAGGGTGGAATGTGTGATTAGGTTTAGTATGGATCTAATGACAGCGTTGGAAATGCAAGTGAGTTTGGGAAAAGGGGAGGAAATGGAAATGAGGTACGGATGGGTAATGGGGTTGAAGGTGGTACTGGAGTTGGTGTTTGGGAAAGGTTGGATTGTGTGTGGTAGAAGTTTGGGGATAAGGTTGTGGATGGGGCACTGTTGGGTTGGGATTGGAGATGGAGCTAATACTTAGGTTTGGGATGGGGAGGTTTTGAGGTATGGAGCTGTGGATTGATTTGGTGATGAGGATGAGAAGAGATGATCTGCATTAAGGTAGGATCTTGGTGGGAGTGGGTTGACAGGGTGGTTTCGTGGTTTAGTACAGGGTGACAGAAAGGCTGTTATTTTTCCCCACTCTGGGTTTCCCCCACCTTACAGGGCTGGACCTGAAGAGGTGCTGAGTTTACTCTCTTTGAGTGGAATTAGGTTCAGGTAGGGTGGCAGGAGGGAGGATGCCAGGTTAAGTGAGGTGAAAAATCTGTGTGGGAAGTTGGGGTACCTGTGCCTTCTTGTGGCCTGGGTCCATGGTTCCAGAGAAACTTTTCTCACTTGGGAAGGGCCGCAGCCTGGAGTGGGGGTGGCTGGCTTTAGCACCGAGAGTTAAGGACCAGGTCAACACCAATCTTAGGGGTTATGATTGGCTGAGACTCAAGTTGACTTACTCTCTTGTTTGAAGTAAGGCCATGGACCCACTGAGGGTTGGGTGAATTCTATCCCTACCTTTGATCAACAAGGCAGCTGCAGCCCATATAGGACAGTGGGTTGCTGGGAGTCATACAAAAACTGGACAAAATCCAGGGTCTTTTCATTGATCAGCCTTTCCCAAATGATCAGGACTGAGAGAGAAGCAAGGGCTGGACATGATTAAGAGGGATTAAGAGCTGGGGCTCTAAGCTGCCTGGGTTCAAATCCCAGCTCTGTCACATACCAGCTATGAGCATGTGACTTGGCTTCTCTGTGCCTCAGTTTCCCCATTTGTAAAATGGCACCATCAGTAACACCAGCTTCATAGGGGAAAAATAAACGAGTTAATACTGGAAGGTTCTCAGAAGACAATCTGGCATAGTCTAAGGGCCACAAATGTGCTTGTAAATAAGTAAGCTGGAGATGAAGGCAACTGAGTTTCCTGGAAGCCCCACCCTGGCTTGGCTTCAAAATGGGGTTCTTTGTCAAACTGGAACTGGAAGGTCTTGTTGGAAGTGTGGACTGGGTGGAGAAAGTCGGCCCCACACCCAGGCCCAGAGGAGAGGCCTTGATGCAAACCTAAAGGGAGGGGGAGACAGAGAAAGGCACAAAAGGATAAACACACAGGAATAGAAAGTCAGGGTGTCTGGGAGAGGACAGAGAAAATGAGAGCCACAAAGACACAGAGATAGAAAGACAGAGGGACACCCAGACAGAAACCAGACTCTTGGAGAGAATACAAGAAATGGAGAGACTTGGATTCTTGGAAGCTGGATCCATATTATTAAAGATGGCAGCCCCAATAGTAACCCCTCCTGTGCAGCAATGACCTATCACTTTTCACCATAGCAGAAATTATAAAGATCCGTCTTGTCATCTACCTGAGCCTGCCCACGTCCTCTGCCTCCTCTCCCATTTCTATAGAGGAGCAATCTCCTCCATCTAATACAGACTCTTTCACTTATGCTTCATATTCCATCTCTTCTTGCGTCCTCAAGTGCATGGTTCCAGCAGTTCTCTCTTTTCTGCTTCATCAGTTTTCCCTTCCCCAATGAGCAGTCCATTCATATACAAACATGCTGCATTTCCCACCTACCCCCGTTTTCCATTAAAAAAAGAAAAATAAACAAAAACTCTTCTTTCATCCTTCCCATTCTCCTTCAACTCCGGACCCATTTTTCTACTCTTGCTGACTAGAAAGTTAGCTACACTCACTGTTTCTAATTTTTCTCCTCCTGTTTTTCCTTGATCACCTTTCATGAAGGTTTTATTCCCCACCACTCTATCAATTATGCCCCTGCTAAGGGCATTAATGACCTCCATGTTGCAGAATTCAACAACCAGCTCTTCAGGACTTTTCTTACTTGGCTTATCAGCAGCATTTAACAAGTGGATCATTCGTTGTTCCTTCAAAGAGTTTCTTTCCTTGGCTTCTAGGACACCACAGCCTTCTGATTTTCCTCCTAATTCACTGGCTGGCTCCTCATCAGTGTCCATGTGCTGATTTCTCCTCATCTGCCA